TGAGTCAATACGAAGGAAAGAGCTTGTCAACATTTCAGCATGCTTGCTTCTATTTTCTCAAGAAAAGAGGAAGCAAGGTCATTGGCTGAAAGTGATGGTGAAGAAGTCCTGAGGAGAAAGAAGGCATAAAATGACTCCAGGAGAACATAAAGTACGTTTAATATACTGGTCATACATTTAAGGAAAGGCCAGGCAGGCAGTTGAACAGGCGTGCGTGCCGAGAACGTGAAGAGCTGGCTGTGACCAAGGCTAAAGTTTGACCAAGCAGAGAGAGGGAAAGGGAACTGAGAAAGCAGGGCACTGAGCCAAACGATGGCCCAGGAATTGAAACTGTGTGAGGCAGCAAGGGTCCAAAGGAGGTGAGGGAGAAAACGCAGTAAAAAGTTATTAGGATGGACAGATGGCATGAAGAACCACAGGGCATGGCACACTTCAGGCAGCAAGCTGGAGAGCAGGGTGACTGATGGTGAGACCACACAAGAACTTGTCACTGCTAGTGACAGGCCTGCGCTGTGGCCCCAGGCAGCCGGCGGCTGAGGAAGACCATCGAGAGAGGTGTAGGGATGGCCGAGCAGGCCGGAGAGGTCATCCACACAGACACCGAAGTCCCCAGTTGCGACAGGCATAGTGGCAGAAAGACTGATCAAAAAAAAAAAAAAAGAAAGAAAGAAAGAAAGAATGATCATGAACCTTAAGGATGGAAGAGGAACTGTCTGGAAGGAGAGGAATGAAGGGCAAAGAGAGAAGTAATCAGGCCACGATCTAATGACATGAGATTCAAAGCGTGTGAAAGCAGCAGAAGAGGACGGGAGGACGCCTGCCCAAACCCCCGCAGGAGTAGAGTAAGGGGCGTGGGAAAGAACATAGCTATCACCTGAGAGGGACTGAGAAGCAGTATGTGCTGCGGGAGCCAAACTTCTTCTAGCAAGAGGGAGAAGACTGAGGATTTCGGTGGCTCTGCTGCTGTGTCCCAGCAGCTCTTAAATCCACAGGGTTCCACATGGTACAAGCAGAGTTTCAGGAGCTCAGGGACAGCGGGAAATCAGGTCAGAAATGCGACGTAGAGAGATGTGAGGGACAATCTGAGATGCAAGGGTCCTGGATATTCTGGGCTCCTTATGCTGACTACAGAAAGGGGGAGGGAAGAATGCAAGCACTACTCCCCCTGGCCTCAAGGCAGACAACAAAGTAAGGCTGTGTGCTGGGGACGAGACGGGCAGGAGCCTCGTGAGGACAGTGCTGAGTCCTGGGACATCTCACTCCTGCCATGTGATGTGCACACTAGGGAAGGCTGTCTGCACCAGATGGCTAGAAATCTGGGGCTCCCCCTGCTCCAGGAATACATATAACTCCCACCATCTATTTCTTTTGTTTTCAAGTATTCCAGTTCTGGATAAAATCTTATAGATCCTTACCCTTGTTTTTCTCTTCTTCAGCCAACTCATCTATGATCTTGAGACTCAGAATTTAAATTCATCTGCTCAAGGTCTGCTGCTTAGAAGAAGATGAGCAGTAAACAGAAAAGGGAGGACAAAAAGCCAAGCAGACCACTAACAGGATGGCTTCTTTAGAACACTGATTTACATTATAATAGTTTACAGGTTAGCTTTATTTTATTAACATATATTATATTTTATAACATTAAATTTATTTTAATAGCATATTAACATGTTTTGTTTTGTAACATATTAACTTTATAACTTTATAGCTTTATTTTATAACATATTAACATTCTGAACTAATACTAATATTAATAAGAACAAAACTAGCACCAAGTGATAAACACGAACAATGGAGAAGTCACAGGCAAGTATTCTATCAAAAAGCTATACTGATATTTTAAAAACTATGCATGGAAATTCAACTCCAATAATATAATAACTACCACAACAAATTACATATCTTCCAGAAAAAAAAAGTGTTATGTTTTTTCAATGACTGTGAAGCTGAGCTCAGAGCAAACCACGCTGATGTCCCAAAGATTCCTGTGATGTGCATCACACGTCCCCGCGCAGACCAAGAAAGCACACTCAATGGCCACTGGCAAAACACCACCATGAATTCCAGAGTAAATCGCTGCTGTAAAAAATTTTTAATTTTCTATTATTATTATTCCTATATTCTTTTCAAGAATATAGGAATATAGGATGCCTGGGTGGCTCAGTCAGTTAAGCATCTGCCTTTGGCTCAGGTCATGACCCCAGGGTCCTGGGATCAAGTCCCATGTCGGGCTCCCTGCTCAGCGGGGAGTCTGCTTCTCCCTCTCTCTTTGCCCCTCCCCCTCCCCCTGCTTGTGCACAAGTGCTCTCTCTAATAAATAATAAAATCTTTAAGAAAAAATAGCCCAGAATAAAAAATATTTTAAATTCACTTTTTTTATTTTATTATGTTATGTTAATCACCATACATTACATCATTAATTTTTGATGTAGTGTTCCATGATTCACTGTTTGCGTATAACACCCAGTGCTCCGTTCAGTACGTGCCCTCTTTAATACCCATCACCAGGCTAACCCATCCCCCTACCCCCTCCCCTCTAGAACCCTCAGTTTGTTTCTCAGAGTCCATAGTCTCTCATGGTTTGTCTCCCCCTCCGATTTCCTCCCCTTCATTTTTCCCTTCCTACTATCTTTTTTTTTAACATATAATGTATTATTTAAATTCACTTTTAAAAAAATAATTTAAAATGCAAAATAACTGTTACAACAAAATGCACTTGACATAATACTAGATTAAATCAAACACATGGGAATGATTTCCACTACTTACATTCTATGATCTATACTTTTTTTTTTTTTAAGTAGACTCCATGCCCAGTGTGGACCCCAACATGGGGCTTGAACTCATGACCCTGAGATCAAGACATGAACTGAGATCAAGAGTGGGACGCTTTACTATAGAACCATTTGTGTTACAAGCCTGCTGTTTTCCACCTGAAACAGTCCACAGTGCTAACAAGCAGCAAATAACAAAACTACAGCAACTATCCCAACATATCATTAAAGAGCATCAATAGAAAGACTTTAAAAACCTACCAACAGAGCACTTAGAAGTGGTGCATGGCTTACCAAAATGGCAGAAAATAAAATTACACTTAGCATTAGCTATCATAACATGCTTAATCCTCTCCAAATTATATTTCTGTGGTAGTCAGGGTATTTTGTTTATTTGGGTTTGGCTTCATTTTGTAATATATCTAGCCTTCTGGCAACTACTTCTTTTGCAATTTCTTTAGATATAATGATTCACTTTTGAATTTGAGGAGCCAAAGGATTAGAAAGATTCTGGAGGGACTTTTTCTTAAAGTGAAAAGTGGGAAAAGGTTGTATTTTTGGGTTTAGTTTTGTTTTAACTCAAATTCTTTAACTCATGGGGCACTATATATATACATATATATTTTTTTTTTTTTTAATTAAGTAGGCTCCACATCCCACGTGGAGCCCGATGTGGGGCCCAAACCCACAAACCTAAAATCAAGACCTGAGCTGAGATGAAAAGTCGAACGTTTAACCAACTGAGCTACCCAGGGGCCTCCATAGGGTGCTATCTTTTACCCTTCCTAGTTCTCAGCCTCCTGATCTGTAAGACAGAAAGACCATATATTTCACGCTGAAACATAACTGCACACTGCAGGCAGCATGACAATTCAGGCATATTTATCACATATTAGCATGATTACATAAGTAAGACAAATTTATTATAATTTTTGCTACTTTAACAAAATTTTATAAAGCTGACAGTATTGAGTGTAAAGTTATAATTCTGAAACAAAATAGGCTTAAATATTAAAATAGCTTTAATAACGTTAGAAGAATAAAAGATACATGTAGTTCCAGTCTAAAAGTTATTGGTACCAAATGATACAATATTATTGCCAAGAATTCTCTAAAATAGATAAAATTTGATTTAAGAATAAAGGTCTAAATGTTAGCAACACTTTTGAGTTGATGATTTAAATTTATTATTTGTGGGGCGCCTGGGTGGCTCAGTCGGTTAAGCGTCTGCCTTCGGTTCAGGTCATGATCCCAGGGTCCTGGGATCGAGCCTAGTATAAGGCTCCCTGCTCCGTGGGGAGCCTGCTTCTCCCTCTCTATCTGCCTCTCCCCTCCTTGTGCTGTCTCACTCTCTCTCTCAAATAAATAAATAAAAATAAAATCTTTAAATTCACTATTTGTACCTTAAGAAAGTAGGTATATTTCTTCCTATTTCATACTTAAAGTACCCTTCCATTTTATATCTACTCTTTAATTATGACCCTGAAATACAGTTAGCTATTAATAACCTGATCTTGGGGTTGGTTTTCAACATTAAAGAAAAAAAACAGCTTTGCAGGAGAAGAGAGTGCAGAGTGCAAAGCATTTAAGTAAAATAGAAAATTTACCCAAACTATATCATTTCTCTGTTAAACTATGTCATTACTCTTTTTTCCACTGGTCCTTCATTTGAAGCCAAAAGGATGGGTAAATAAAAACTGAACTTTAAGATCTTTGACAGGCTTACTTGGTTATCACAGCTGATTATGAATAGCATTCCTAAATAACAACAGAGCTCCTAAGCATAACTGAGACAGTCAAATTCAGCACCTAGTAGCAAAGAGACATACTACTTTTGACCTTAAAGATTTCAACAGGAAAGAAATGAAGTAGGGATATTAAAGTCACTAAGAAAACATGCAAATTTCCAAAACCTCAGTAACTAAGTCGTCATGCTTCAAATACATAGCAGTAGAGGTGTGCCTTAGTGGCCAGTGTCTCAGAACTGAACTGGCCTTGCTAGACTATGGCTAATCACAGCTAGGGAAAGACAGGAACTTGACCACAGTGCCACTAGTCTTCAGCAAAACTATCCTCACCTGGGACGTTCACATGTTACTCTTAGGTCTTGACCTAGTGCATCAGCACAATGTGCTAAGAGGCTTGTATTTTTCCCCCCTCAATTAGCTGTCTTTTTGTGAATTAAGTAATTTTTTATTGAGCTCTAACTATGGAATACATACGTACCATTTAGTCGTCTCTGGAGTGCTTCCTCCTCTAGGGTAATAATATAAATTTGTTCATCCAGGTCTTCAAGAATCTAAATTCAAAGATCAAACCTTTGACTAATGCAACATTAGAAAACTAGTGCTTATGAGAACACTTAGGTTATTTGGCCTATGACTTAGATAACCATTTAAAATCATTAGGAATTTAAAATAAAAATACTCAAACTAGTTTATTTATAAGTTTAGGAAAAATATTTTAGCATATAACTAAACACATCAAAAGTTGACTATTAGAAAATCTACATATATTTAAATTTAAAGGATTAAAGAACACTGCAGTTCTCTCAATGACAAGTAAATGTATGAATTCTCAATATCCAAAAGGCTAAATACAATTATACCTCTTACGCCCAAACCAACATTTTAGAGCAAGAAGGAACAGATCACTCCGTCCAACATTGGTTTCTCATTTATATTTACCTACATAATATTTAACACAAGAGACCTATAAACTCAGTAACTACCATGCAATACTTTCCACTTACATCATCTGTATATAATAAAAATTTTCTGCAAATTATGAATACTGGTATTATCAAAATCATTCTGTAGACAGAACCCAAGAGAAATATTATGCTTGTATATACCCCACTCACTACCATACCGTACAACACTAGTAAAAAACAAGAACCACTAATCAATCACCAATTATATAGGATATGATCTGCACTATCTTCACAACTGATAAAGGCTAAAATATGTTTAATTCTAGCTTTGTTAATATAGGTATCCTTCTTGAAATGATCCTAAATATCTTCCTAGCTCTGGGGAAAATCTGAAAGAAGCCCAGAGCTGATATATTTAATGTCATTCAAACCCAAACTACTTAGTCCCAACAAAACAATAAATTGTGAGAAGTTGATGGACAAAGCAAAAGGGTAGAAACCCTATATATGTATATCCTTTCAGCTCCCTGATGAGGTACATTCATAAAAAGCAGTCTCAAAGCATGTAACTCCTATCAGGTATCAAATCTGCCTAATTTCTATAAAATTTATTTAGAGCAATCCAATAATTCCCAGTATTTCAACAAATATTGATAATCCCTTATTATCAACAGGTTTAGCACTCACAGCAAAATAAAATAGTAAAATAAGAATAAATACTAACACACAAATAAATAAGTACAAAAGCTGACTGACCTAGGAGAAAAGGGTGGGGTGACCCACTTCAGCAGGTCACCAGTGAGGGCCTCCCCCAGGAGATGACCCTTGAGTCCTAAATGGGAAAGACTGGGCAGATGGACAGCACCAGTGCAGGCAGCAGACTGGGCTAAGTTAATCCAAGACAGGCTCTGAGCCTAAGGTAGGCAGGGGCCATATCTTTCTGGGTCATCATATCAAGTTTCTTTCCCATCAATATTCTCACCATTTCTACCATTTGGATCACAATCCAGTTTTTACTTTTCTTAAGGTCTAGCCCATACAAAAAGATTTCCTCTTACGATGCAAACTATCTGTTAGTGACTTACCACCTTGGGTCTGTCTTCATGTGAGTGAGTGACAATGAATGGCACACCGATATTTGTGTTAAATACTTGTGTGCCTCATCCCCTTGATTCTACAACAATCCAATGAAAAACAGACTGTTATCATCCCCATCTTATAATATGCCAAGAAACAAGGGTTTGGCAAAGAAAAGTTATCTGCCTTTTAAAGCCTATACTCTTAAACACTCTGAGCTGATGGGGACCTAAATATGAGTCCAACACAGTCCCTGACCTCAAACAGCTTACATTCTAGTGTCCAGGAAAAACAGAATGAACTCAAAAAAATAATTATAGGGTAAAAATAACTGTCATAACTGAAGCAAAAATAAAATGTTACAAAAGTTCAGAGGAAGAAAGACCCCCAAATTCTAGGTGGGAAGAAAAAAGTTTTGGCAAGTGTTTTTGATAATAGTAGCCTCTTAGCTGATAGCTTAGCTTACTAAAAAGGGGAAAGGCATTTGGATCAGAAAAAACTATAAGCAAAACACAGAGGTGAAGAGGTATGAAGTACACTCAGCAATAAAGCAGTTCGAGTATTCTGGAGCTTATGGCAGAACAAAACAGTGGCCCAGAGCCCAGGGTCTGTAACCAGTGTCTGGGTTCAAATCCCACCCCATCATGACGGATCTGTAATCTCGTACAAGTGACTTAATCTCCCTGAACTACAGATAATTCAGCCATAAAATAAGACCACCACCTAACTTATGGGTTTGTTAACACGATTAAATGAAATGTGTGTAAAATATAGTACTTATCACAAACATAGAGCCTACACTGAATTGAATATCGTTAATATTGGATGTTAGGAACAAGAAAAGAGGCGAAGATAACTAAAGTTTCAAGAATAATGTTAATAAGAAACAAGTTTAGGACAAAAATCAGCTTTGGGAAGGACACTAAGTAAGTAGTTTGGTTTTCTATAAGCTGAGCTTTCAGCTCCGTCGAGTATTCGGGTACAGCATTTACAACGTGGTGTAGTTTGTTTTCGGTGCCTTTTGCTCCCTAGAGCTACACATGTAGAAGTGTCATGAAACTGGCAGAGGTGGTATGGAGAACAGAGCAGAGCAACTTTAGACCAAGGACAGAACTTGGAACATCTGCCTATCTTAGGAGGCTAGGAAATAAAAACGGAAAAAGAGACCAAAAAACAAAAAGAAAAGCTCTGCCAGAGAATCAGGAAAAAATTAAGAATGCAGTGTCATGAAACCTCTTCAAGAGGGAAGTGAATTTCAAGATTTGATAGCATGTTTTGAGTGTGTATATATTTATGGAGCAAGTTAAATAATCCAATTTTATTTTTTTAAAAGACAGGAAAAAATTATTTGTCACTTATTTTTTTAAATCTTTCAAAATTAAGCAAGCATTACTAAAGGAATATCTACTACAATATTTCCTCAAATTTTTCCTGATTAATCACCCCAGTAGGAAAGACAAACATACAACCAAAATAATTCAATAGGTACTAACAAAGGGGAATATGAAAAGTGCAGAGAAAGGAGCTTGATTATTTCAACTTAAAGAAGAGGTGAGGCAAGGTTCAAGAGTAGGCAGTGGGTGCAGCAACATCAGAGCCAGGCCTTGAGGAGGCGGTCAGGCAGCTGGAGCAGGCAGGGGGCACTGATGGGAGAAAGTCCCGGACACGCCTGCTAAGTGAAGGCACGCGGCCCGTTGTGAGCACAGCCCATCAGCAGGGAACGTGCAGTCAGAGCCGCAGGGGCAGGAGCACAGGCTGGAGGTCAGCGGACTAGGGAAGAGGCTGTGAGTCATTCAGACCTGAGTCTGCAGGCAGTGAGGACCCATGAAAAGAATGTAAATGGCAAGTTCCTTAAATGCAGCTAAGAATCACTACCAACTGAAAATCAAAAATGAATATATGGCAACTCTGAGATTAAAGTGAAAAGTATAATCAAAATGTAACATGCAGACAACTTCTCAGAGACATAACTGCTCTGTAAATCAAGGAATATATGTGGTAAATTTTGAAACATAACAGAGTTACTACTGATACAACAGACACCTAAAATACCTGTAAGTATTTGTAAATTTTGTCTTAAAATTTGCTAGAAGAATTTCTACCTGTCTATAGTTAGTATTTTAAAAGCAAAAACAAATTTGTTTCCAAAGATGAAAAAGATTAAAATAAAAGCAACAATAACAACGAGGTCACAAGCCCACAGAAATACACTAATGTTTCTGATTGCTAATTCACAACCTAAAAGATGTTCAAATGTAAACACATTTAACAAACAAGATGACACACTTACTGTTGGCTTCACCAGCAACTGACCCATCACTGTGAACATGCGGGAAAGGCCAACAGGGGTACACACTGCAGGAGAGGTCACAGAGAGGAGGCTGATAAATGGCTAGTGCAAAATACAGAACAGACTCCAAGACTATCGTTGTAAGAAAATTCTTGCCTCAAATTTAGATTCTCTCAGTGTTTTATCAGAGGAGTCTTCATCAATAAAGAAGCTAGAGGGAATGACAGGTGAAGGATGAAAGATACCTAAAGACTGAAGAAGGCTTAGTACGTGCAAGACTCTCGCAGTTGAATAATAGTATTTTCACTTAAAAAATTAAAAAAAAAAAACTAAAGAACAGACTAAAATTTCAAATGCTGATGGAGTTGAGAACCAAACAACTATTATCTTAACTCCTTTTAACTACATTTATCTGCTTATAATATCCCTGAGATACGCTGTAATGCCTCACGTAAAACTGAGTACATTTTAAATAAATTAAACCACAAATTCACCACACAGGGTCTATGTTCCCACTCAAAAGTAGAATCTAATGCTTCAGTGAGTGTGGGCCTGTGTGTGTGTCTCTCCACAAGAGAGGCTTTCCTTAAAGAACAACACATGAGTATTATTTCATGGCTTCAGTTTATCAAAATTTATCTTAACATAAAAAAAGTTAAGGGCCAACTTTAAAAACATCTCCAAGCTGTTAAGTAATTTCATCAGGAAACCTTAGTATAATTTTCTAGAACAAAGAACTCCATTTTCCCATCAACATTAAGCCAGAAAAATACTTACGGAGAAGTAACAAACATCCCATCAGAGATATACAGGAATATAAATAGGGTAGGTAGAACTCCCAGAGATCTGTAAAGAAACACAAATATATTTTAGTAAATCCAAAATATTGTACATTAAGATATAGGTTGACTATAATGTTTGATAAACATCATAATTGTCTATTTGAGTCTACTAAACCATATAATTTCTAAATTGTACAATAAAAAGATCTAAAATAGAAAAGGAAATAACCCTTTTGCAAAACCTGTTTGGAGGGAGAAAAAAAAGTCTCCATTGAATTTTAAGAACAGAAACCAACTAAGAAACAAACAAAAATCTTAAAAGCTGCTTGCTCGTTCTGAATACAGCAAACACAGGAACACTCATTTATTTTCTTAAACCTGTCTAAAGACTTCTTAACTCTGTAAATCAACAACAAGGGCTGACAACACAAAGAATTACTACAACGTTCACGACAGCGAATGTGTAGTCATACGCCCGGTTCAACGTCCCGGAGAGAAGCCGACTTACCGTACAAAGACTCCATGCTCGCGGCGTCCTTGTCAATGAGCGCGGAGGCCACCCACACGATCCCCAGGATAAGCAGCGCAAGCAGGACAAGCATGACCAGAGTTTCTAAAATTCGGGCTCGGATTCCCTGAAAAAGATAATGGAGCTCTAACTGTATTTCATTTCATCTCATGATTAATTAGGTTCCTATCTATATGAAAGCACAAAAATTCTTTGGAAAGGGAAGAAATTTATATTTATAAGGAAGACAAAAAACACTAGCTTTACAGTGTCATGTTTAGACTGCCTTTGTTTTACCAAATTATGTAGAATACCATCAAGCTTTAAAAAACCAAAAAAATTCGTCATGAAAACATTTTTCAGAGCAGTGTTTTAAGGGGCGCCTGGGTGGCTCAGCCAGTTAAGTGACTGCCTTCCGCTCAGGTCATGGATCCAGCCCCAGTGGGGCTCCCTGCTCAGTGGGGACCTGCTTCTCCCTCTCCCTCCCGCTTGTACTCTCTCTTGCTATCTCTGTCACCGTCTCTCTCTCTCTCTCAGATAAATAAAATCTTAAAAAAACAAAAACAAAAACGGGTTTTAAAACACAGGTTGATGAATTTTTGTCTGTGGTTCTAAGTAAGGGCCTCGAGGACGACTACGGTCCGGGGCCAAGCAGCCATGGGAGCGACGGACCCCGCGAGCACACACAGCCCCCAGTCCCAGGGCGCCAGCCACCAGCACCGCTCCCGCAGCCTCTAGTGCAGCTGCCAGTGTCCCCACCCCCTTCCCCCACTCCCACAGGGCCAGTGCCCCCTCCCCCGCTCCCGCCAGCGCCCCCCCTTCCCCTCTCCCCCCGCCCTGCAGCGGCCAGTGCCCCCTCCCCCACTTCTGCCAGTGACCACCTCCAGCTCCCGCAGCCCTCAGCACAGCCGCCGTGTCCCGCCTGCTCCCGCCAGCAGCCCAGGGACTCCCTGAGCAAAGCCCGCAGCAGAAACCAAGGCCAGGCGCAGTGCACGGTTATCGATTATGTACTACACTTCTTTCTTCCCATTAGATAAAACCGCCATTACTTCACGTGCCTGGAATATAATAAACCATCTTTCTACACAATTTTGTTTTAAATATAAAACAAATTCTGACCTCAGGGCCAAACCAGAGGCCAGGCTTCTAAACTTGAAACCTATTGGACAAGGCAAACAAACGAATAAAAACAGCTTTCTTATATTCCTGAAAAGTCACCAAATGATTGAATCCATACCTAAATTCAAAGATTCACATTGTTGTTTTATACTATAATGTACATGGAATACAACAAACAAAATTAGAAGTAAATCCATGTCTCTCGATAAAAGAGTTGGAGGGGCCTGCTCTTATAGTCCAGTCTTACACAGGACTGCCCTAGGCCGGTTAAAAGATGTCCCCAGGTGTTGAGTCAGCACACCTTAAGTGTTTCCAGTAGGGAGGTCGGTGGACCAGAGTAAATGACGCTTGTATTTTATTTAACACATCAGATCTAACAGTAGTTATGACTCAAGTGAGATGAAATACGAACAGTCCCCAAACATACTACTAAAGAACACACTCCAGCTTTCCTGAAGAACTCTCCAAACCCGCAATTCACAACTTTCAAACCACTTAGGATACCAAAACATGACCACCACCCCCCCTTTTTTTTTAAGTAGGCTCCACGCCCAGTGTGGGGCTTGAACTCACAACCCTGAGATGAAGAGTCACAGGCTCTACCAAGTGAGCCAGCCAGGTGGCCCAGACAGCCACCTTTTAATGGTAATTTCTTTTTCCTTCCTTCTCTCTTTCTGAGCAATAGTCTTTTTTTGTAAGCAAGAATCTTCTTATTACACATCAAGTATTACGTGGAAAGCTTGTAACAGATAAAAAGAACAGGTGCTCTGATGAGAATGTGTAACACCCTTTCAGCTTGTCTCTTCCTATCTCTGACTGGAGCCCAAATCCTGCCTGCCTCCAACCAGAACTTAGGAATACTAAGGGCTCCCAAAACACCTAACACATGTGTCTTAAGTGTTATAACATATGAGCTAAACACTGCAACCATGTTCTGATATAAAACAGTAATGATCCTTGGAACCATCTGAGACCCACTGTCCCAAAAAAGTGTTTTAATAATTATTAAACAATTGTAATAACGTAGTAAGTATATAACCATTACGATGATATTAAGTGTTGGGGAATCAATCTACCATAAGATTTACACACTTCCTCTGTTATTTTGGTAAGAAATATCTGTTGGCAATTAAATGTATTTTTCTTCAAATATGTTATTCTGCTTCGGGAGCTAATGCTCCATGGGCCCCTCTCATTTCTGTGCATCTCACAGAGGCAGGGATAGGCCTTGTTCTGGACTTTTTTTTTTTAAGATTTATTTATTTTGGAGAGAAAGCATGCATGCTTCTGGGGGGGGGGGGGGGGGGGGGGGGGGGGCAGAGGGTGAGGGAAAGAGAATCCCAAGCCGACAAACCACTGAAGGTGGAGCCCAACAAGTGGCTCAATCCCATGACCCTGAGATCATGACCTGAGCCGAAATCAAATTGGATGCTTAACCAACTGAGCCACCCAGGAGCCCCCGGACTATCTTATTAAGGATGTCTGGATAGCAAACAGCCTTGGAAAACAGAGACGCTGTCTCTCTGAAGCAGGTTTGTTTCATACAGAGCAAAGCACAGACAAGTTTGCTTGAAGCCCATTTGTGGGTTCCCCTGAGATTCCTCAGCTATGACTTGAGCCCACTGTAGGAGCAGCCTCCACCTGAGCCACACTGCCCCCATGAAGCTGGTGGGTGGGGGGGTTGTCCTGGAGAACAGGAAACTCATGGCTTGCCTGTTCTGAGTAATGAAGTCCTTTGTCTCTGATCCAGGAGTCTCATGTCTACAACTACCATGCAGGAATCTAGTAGCAGACTGTCAGCTTGCAAGTACAGTAAAATCTCAATTCTGGCAGCTTTGGGTGACAAGGGTAGGCAGCTAACATGGCTTTCTAGAGAAGAACAAATAAGGGCCCACAAGGTTGGGTTAAGGGCAATGAGAAGACTCCCAAGATCTAGCAGTGAATGCTCTTACCCAAGCAGTAGGCAAGTGGGAGAAGTATGAGTCCCCCAAGGACCTGACGTGCTAATGCCTGTCAGAGGCTGAGCTACAGGTGGAGCTTGGTCATAGCCCCTTCTCCCAGAGAGGAGGGATGTTATCATGTTCGTGTAACACCAAGCCCTACAAGGCCAGCTAAAAAGACTATGATTACAAGGAACTATTTTTCTTGTATACTTTGTCCTTTTCTGTATTTTCCAAATTTCATAGAGTGAATGTGCAGGGCTTTAAGTAATATGAGAACAAATTAATGTTGTTTTTAATTTTTAATTTTTTTCTTAAAAGAACTAACTTCCAAGAGATTGACACTCAGAAAAATAATTTTTAAAATACCCAACTTCAGTTTATGAGACAATATAGCGAGCTAGTTCAGGACCCCAACTCCAGCAACAGACTGCTTGGGTTCAAAGCCTGGTCCCATCACTGACCAACTGTGTAACACTGTGCAAATTTCTAAACCTCTCTGTGCATCAGTTTATTTCTTCGTAAAATAGGTTTATCCCTACCGTCTGGGGTCACTATAAGGATCAAATAAGTTAACATAAGTAACATGCTTAGCATTAGGCTAGGTGTTTAGTAAGCACAATATAAGAGTTAACTGTTAACGGCTCAAATTACTGCCTTTGTTTTTAAATTTTCCAAGGCTTTGTAGTTCACCTATCATTTGTGTTTCTGGATTAAATTTATTTCTCCTAATGTCAGCTTATCAACTTCTTCCCATCTGTCACCTATCATTCACAGACCTATAAGAAACAATCTCATGTTTCTTGATGATATGAACACCGGGTACACAAGCATTTCTTATCATTTCCCCTGCCATGATGATTAACATACCAGCTCCTAATGAACTTAACTTCCATGCTACTACAGCCCAGCACATCCACTAGCCTGACTCCCTCGTCTCTCAGACCCATCCTAAGATCTCAGACTGTGAGACTGCTCCATATTTCTCTGACACCTCCAGTCCTCTAACCTACACTATGTCTTCATCATTATAACCTCCACTCCCTCAATCCACCCAACTCCTCCAATCAGTCTTGTTTTCACTTGCTTAAACCCTATGTTGAACTGTGTATTTTAATGATAATCCAGTACCAATAGTATTCTAATATTCCTGGTCCCTTTGATTTCCACCAGACTACCTTAATTCCTACTGGTGGCTCATTCCTTTGAATTCTCAGTCCTGTGAAAGAAATTTACAAAATCTTGAGAAACATGTGCTACTACATTCCAAAGTGGGTCTTTGCTGTTACCTGGCAATACCTATGCTGATCTCTGGCTAACGATTCCCTCAATGATATTTTAAATGTTTTCCATTCTCCTTGACCCTAAATCTCATCCCCTGCTTTCTAGCAAATTGCAGCTGCCCTTACCTCTTCCTTAGTAGGACATAACTGGGGAGACTGCACATCCCTCAGCTTCCTTCCCCTATCTCTGGTTTCTCTGTCTCCATTCTTTCTTTCATTCTTTATATAAAGGAAAATCCCTCAGATCCCTTTTCTCCATGGCTCAGGCTTAGATGTTCATCCTTTCAACATGCCAGATTAGTGCTTCTCAAACTTCAGCATATGTCAGCATTACCAAGGGGCTTGCCAGCCAATCCCTGAGAACCAGCCCAAAGACACTTCAGTCAATTCTGACGAAGCCAGTTCATGTGATGAAGACACCAGATAGACTGCTCTGTTCTTCCCCTAGGTGATCTCGCCTCCTCACGTAACCAACGACTCTAAAGTTTCTATCTTTAGTCCAAATCTCACCACTGAGACCAAGATCCATACATCTAAACTGCCACCTCCCCTCAAGTATCTCACAAGTACATAAACAATTCTAAAGTCAAACTCATCACTTTATCCCCTAAACATGCTCCTTCAGTGTTACATACCCCAATTAATGGCACCATTATCCACTGTTTTTTCCAGATGCTGCAAACATCCTTATCATCCCCCTTGCTGCTGCACCCTCTCTCTCTCTCTCTCTCTCTCTCACACACACACACACACACACCTTGGACTCTGATCTATTCAAACACCAA